CACTAAGAATAATTTAAAAGAGCATCACGCTACTCAGACTATTCCATCCCCAAAGCAAGGACCTATTAACTATACTTTTGCATTTTTTTTTAAACAAATAAATGCTTAGTGCTTATGCCACTTTTTTACTAGGCTACAGTTCAGTTTCCAGGTAGGTCAGTGGAGAAATTCCACAAATTGCAATTCGTGCACAACGTAAGTATGTAAACAATGCTTTTCCTCTTTAACACTCAGGATTGGGTTTGTGAATGAAAACCACATCCTACAAAGGCCTCCTCTTAACCAGATGGAGAGTTTTGCTGTTTCAATCCGCAAATAGACAGAAGGAAGGGTGCTCTTGCTCTAGAGCTCTAAATAGAAGTAGGAACTGTGCTCCTGATCTAATTGAAGAAATCAGTGAGAGTTTTTCACTAAGATGGAATTTCCTCCAACAAGTTAGAATTACTAATAGTTTAACTTCTGCAGAAAATCCTTGAATCTCAAGGAGTGAGTCCCGACTCCACTGCATTTGCTGTGGACTTGGATTCCATCATTATGCCCAAAAGACTCAGATCTAGTCACAGGACATGCATTTGTGCTCACTGTCTCAAAAGCGTAAGTCAATGCTTTTCAGGATATGACACTAAGACATTCTAATTCTAAAAAAATAAAACTATAGACTGTATTTTCAAAAATGCCTTTATGATTCTTGTGAAAAAATGTTACTAGTAACCGAAATCCAGTATTTTGACATGACACACATTTAAAAGAGGCATCAAAACTTCCTAGATGCCTTTGGACCCAGCACCATGGTCTGGTTAGAGTTAAGTGCCAAAGGAGCCACTGCAATTGTCTCTGGTGCACATGCTTAGCCTGCAGCAAAGACACAATAATAGGATTTATTGTTTAAGTTTCTCTCATGGTGAGCTAAGGAGCATCCCTTTAACTTGTGAACTAAAAAGATAGTCATTCAGGACCAGCTGATGTGTTGTCATTGGTTTTACTGCAGCAGCTTTGTATGTGTTGGGGCCCTAAATGTCTACCACTGAGCATGTGAACATGTACACATGTCTGACAGCTGTGATCATCAGATACAGGCACTAGAGGGGTCTGAATAATATGCAAATCCCAATGAGGTGGACATGCTCAGAACACATCTGGTCCCACCAAAAACTGACATGCAGGCATGCAGGTTGTGGTGCTATCTACATTTAGGCAATAATAATGAGGTTATTTTGAAGGAAAACACTTTTTGTTTCATTCCAGGAAAGGTACGGCCAAATGCAGAAAGATGTGTGACCTTGCTGCTAACAGAGAGGCACCTGTCTCATTTACAAACACAGCTGAAGACACATCCTGAATATTCCTTACATTTTTCATTCCCCTCCTTGTCCTGTTCTTACAGTAATTTTTCAAAGTGTGAATTTTGTTTTGGTGCTAAAATTCAGAACTGCGAAGTGATGATTGGTCTATCTTGACTTTAGTATGTTTTTTGACACTGTCTCCCATAACAACCACACAGAACAACTAACAAAGTACTGGTTGGATAATTGTGCAGTGAGGTGAATCGAAACCTGGTTGAATGGGCAGGTCTGGAAGGCTGTGACCATCAGCACAAGTTGGCTGGAGACAAGTCAGTGCTAGTGTACTGGGTCAATACTGAGGCCAGTACTCTTTAACATTCTATCACTGACCTGATGATGGAGCAGAGCACTCCTCCCTAAGTTTAGAGGCCTGTTCAACTTGGAGAAGTGAAGGTTGCAGGGAGACCTTGTATCAGCTCTCCAGCACCTAAAGGGGCCTATAAGAGATGGAGAGGGACTTCTGACAAGGGCATCTAGTGCTAGGACAAGGGCTTTAAAATGAAAATAAGATATTGGGAAGAAATTCTTTACTGTGAGGTTGGTGAGACACTGGAACAGGTTGCCTCAAGAAGCTGTGTTTGCCCCATCCCTGTAAGTGTCCAAGGCCAGGTAGTACAGGGCTTTGAGCAAGCAGGTGTAGTGCAAGGTGACCCTGTCCATGGCAGGGGTTGGAGAAGCTAGGCGAGCTTACAGATTATTTCCAACCCAAACCATTCTGTGATTCTATGATACTAAGCCGGGAGGAGGGGCTGATACATGAGATTATTATATTGTCATTCAGAGGTACCTAGAGGGGCTGGAGAATTTGTCTGAGAGAAATGATCAACAAAAGAAATGCAGAGCTCTACATCTGGGCAGAAATAATGTAGGGCACCAGTACATGGTGGAGGCAGACAGGCCAGAGCATAGCTCTGCAAACAAGGACCTGAGGGTCCTGATAGACAACAAGTTGACCATAAGATAGCAACACCTCATAGCAAAGGTGGCCAACAACATCATGGGCAGTACTATGACAAACACTGCCAACATGCAGAGGGATGTGATCTCTCTAAACACAACATATGTGAGGCCACACTCCGAACTGTATCTAGTTCTGGGTTCCCCAGTACAAGAAAGAGATGAACTTATTGGAGTGAGTCCAGTGAAGGGCCACAAAGATGATGAAGTGATTAAGACTGTTTAATTTGGAGAAGACTCAGAGGGATCTTATTCATTGTATAAGCTGTTGATGGGTGGGAATGAGTACAAAGTCAGGGTCTTACCAGTGGTGCCCAGAGACAAGACATGAGACAATAGGCAAAAATGAAAAACCATCACATTTCATCTGAACGGGAAAGCACTGCTTTCCTGTGAGGCTAATCAAACATGTTGCCCCAAGAAGCTGTGGAGATCCCATGCTTGAAGATCTTCAAAACCTGACTGGGCATGGTCTAGGGTAACCTGCTCTATCTGACCTTGCTTGAGCAGGGGGATTGAACTAGATTGTTTCAAGAAGTCACTCCCAACCTCAACCATTCTGCATGTCTCGGTGTGAAAGAGGGGAAAAAAGAGTGTGTTTGTGATTATACTCTTATATACTTAACCAATTAAAATGTGCATTTCTGATGCTGGGAAGCTTAATGCGTCTCTTTTAAGAGGCAAAATGACTCATCAACGTCATGAGGACGGAAGCAGGTGAACAGTGAAAACCATCATGCACAGACATGCCTGGTTCATTTGGTTGCCACATATTTCAGCATTACTTGCACACAGGCAGCTAGTGCTTCTCTCTTCAGCAGCAGCAAAGCCCTACATACTCTCTTGAAGTAACTTCTGTTCTTTATCAATCTTACTTCCTTTTTCTTGCCTAAAAACCTAATGGAGGAAAAATATATCCTTATTTTGCATGGAAGTTGGATATGCCAAAGTCAGAATCAGAGCATCTCATTCTCATGTCTGCATATGAATTGATCTCCTGTAATCTGCGATCTTTAAAATCCAAGCTTGTGTTAGTAGTTACAAATGTAGTTTATTCATACTGTTAAACATTAAGAGCATAATATTTTTAACAGGATGATTCTTGTTTGCCCTTGCAAGTGCTAGACAGGGATACATTTAACAAATAATTCATTTCATAGTTATCCTAATGATACAGTTTATTTCTGAAGACACAGGCCCAATTTCACTAACAAATACAAGCTTGTTCAAAAAATAAATGTATTAGTCTTATCTTCGCAGCTTGTCCTGGATCTCCTGTCACAGATTAAAATTCCCCTCTCCTTTACATACTAACAAGGGTTTAATCTCCCATTGTTTCTTTAGACACAACCCTTGACTATTTTGTGCCATCATTTCTCATTCTGTCTTTGGCAGCTTTCCTTTCTGGATCTTGCAGCTCTTGACATTCTCCATTTCAATTCTAACACTGGGTTCCTGTCACCCTGCACTACACATATGTCTGAAAGGGATTGGCAGCTTCCCTTAAGATCTTCCTGTCACAGGACCACTTCGGGGTGTTCCGATTTAGTGAAATTAGTGATTATTTTTGGCCATGAACTTTTAGGAGATCGAGAGCTTGTATTCTATATCCTATTCTTGAAAACACTTTCACAGCATGACCAAAATTCCCTTTTCATTTTCTGATCACAACATGCTCTCTTTTTCTGTAGTCAAACATCTGAATGCATTTTCATTAACATCCAACCAATCAACAAACACCTGGACATGAATACTTTCCCAAAATAGAGGCTTTGTGGAGATGAAAGGGGACAATATAATGACCAATGTGTCTTAATTCATGATAGTAAGCTAAAGGAAAATAGTCCCAACCCTTGTACCCTCAGCAAAGACTTAAAGAACAGACAAATTTGCTTGACTTTCTTTTTTTTGAAAAAATAATTATTTTTAGAGAAAGGCTATTTGACATTCAGTTCTGTCTCTTTGCTTTGGGCTTTCTCCACCAAATCTTTCCTACTGCATATGCTGTTATCAAAGTCTAGCATGCCATGCCAGGGTTCCGGCCATCAGCTTGCTTGCTTCTCCCAAGAGATGAAAGCTTTGTTTTTCTTTCCATAACCCCTTCCCAGCCACACAGTCTCCCTCTCCACTCTCTTGTACTTCCCCAAAACTCCTCTGAACCAAGCAGAGTTTTTTGCCCTCTAATTTATTTCTGTCAGGTCAGTGAATTGAATGTACTCACAGAAGCATTCAGCAAATGCCAAAGCTCATGCAAGGTACCCCATGGGAGTTTGTAGAAACCAGGCAAGTGTAGGTCAGGAATCTCCTCTTTTTATGACAGTAAGCTATGATATCAGCCCTCCCTTTCTTGTGACATGGCAACGTGAGACTACTTAGAACAGTTAAGTCTGTTGCAGCTTTGGGCTTGCAATTTGCAACTGTTTAACCCACTCCTGAAAACAGGGAGAAAGAGATACAAGAACCTATAAACACACAAACTTATTATCTTACAGCTGTTTATCACATTATTACCAGATAATAGTGCTAATCCTTCCAAATCCATTCTCGTTATATAGAGAAAAAAAATTTAATTTAAATGTATGCAACCTATTTTTCTCATTATAGAGTTCCATCCAATTGTTTCTAGAGGTCATTTCTTTTAGAAATAAAGCTAATCCACAATGACAATCTCATCAGCTAATGATACATTTCCAGTCATACCTGTGATCATACTTGATATTATTAACGGCAGAATGATGAGTTTGAGCATTCTCATCAGCACTTCCCCAGGAAAGGAAAAGTAGAATTTATCCAAGTTAGAGAGTTTTCCATATTCCCGTACCAGCACACCAAGTCCAATACCTAAAAGGGACATAAAAAATGTGACACGAGTTAGACATAACTTATAGTTGAGACAAAGGAGGAAAAATAAGAAAACACTAAAATAAAAAGAGCGAGCAATAGACACATTTTGGCAGCTGTGGTGGAACTTCTAAAGCAAATCAGCCTTTCCTTTTCTATTCCATATATTAATGATAAGCAAAGCAGCAACACATACAATTCTGATTTGAAGGATATCTTTAGGTACGTCTTCAGAAAAATGTGATCAGTGACTTTTTACCTGCCTTTGCTAGTTCTAGAAGACCCAGAACTGACATTTAAAAAAAATCATAGAATATATAAAAACTACCAAACACTAAAGACAGACAGTGATATAAATACTCTGGATGATCTGTATTGGTGAAAATAAGTGTACCCAGCAGCAACACTTTCAGTAATTGCTGCTCTACATAATTAGAAAATAGCATGACTGCAGTCACTAAAATAATTTAATAACTTCCAGGAAATCGATCAACAAAAATATACTCTGCATTTTTCACAATCATTCCACTACATAACTGACCTACAAATACCAGACTGTAAGCTTAATCAGTGATTTAACCTGGCACCTTTGTACTTCCTTTGATCTTTGGATTAAATGATTTATCAGATACTTCTAGCTTCTGAGACAAATCACAGGTAAGAGTTCTACCAAAAGAAAATAAATCACATGCCAAAAGACAAAATTCTTCAGTTTGACAGCCAATACCTTTATTTTCCATTTCAACATGACCTTCAAATTAAAATCACTGGTATACGAAATGTGTTCATCAGTGTTTAGAAAGCACATGAAATGCTGTTTCACATACAAACTTTGTAATGCTTCAGTCCTGAATAATAACTGCTTATCAAGAGATCCAATTTCTAACTGGATCCAGTCAGAGACAGAGCAAGTCAGAACCTTTCATTACACACTGAGTGCTGCAAAGTCTTACTCATATGAATGAAATTTATGGAATTATTTACACCCCCTGGTACCTTGGTGACATTAGTGGTATGTATTTTGCAGCAGAATTGTAACAACAGCAGAAGAAGGGGCTACCAGTCTACCTTTATCAGCCCAGTGGCTCATACACACTTGCAGGGGCCCAGGAAAGCTGCTAGTGTCCTAGCCAAACGCACCACTTCCCCAGTTTTATTCTTGATAGTGTACAAGGCACTTGAGTCAGATGTTGTTCAGGAAGCTGGTGTAAAGTTTGACTAAACAGGCTTACAGGATACATTAGTTATTTTAACTGATAGAAGTTGTGGAGGCAGACAGTGCCAGCAGGCTCCAAACCAGAGGCAAATCCATGGAAAACTGGTCCATACTATCAATACAGAGGAAACAAATATCCCATATCCAATTCTCTACTAAACATGAAAGCTCAGTGACATTCTCTTCTAGAAAATAAGGGGTTTTGCAAAAAAACTCTTTAAAGATTCACCATGGCTGTGGTTTGTGCTAGTTCACACAGCATCTGGATGTCAGTTGACATAACTACTGTTACCACACTTGCCCCTATGAGAACAAAAAGATAATGAACCATCTTTGCTCTATCTGCACCTGAAAAATCAAGCTAAAAGAAAATTAAGGCAGATTATAAACTCCTACCAAGTCTTTCCTGTAAAGAGACATAAAATGAACAAGCTAACCTTCCATGTAAATGGGCTGCTATTAAGATTTCTGATTTAGGTGTAATCTGTGCCAGTGAACACGGACAGTTTAAATTCCTTGGAACAATCTTGAATCTTAATAGCCTTGAAGATATTTGCAATATTATGCAAATGGACTTGATCAGTGAATGATAAGATACAATGATCTCTACTTCTAATCTAGTGACTGAATTATGTGTTGAAAATAATTACTCTGCACTTTAAGATAAGCCCAAGCAAGATAAAATTCCATTTATAAAGTGGCTACATGTATTGAAGTTAGTTGCTAAGACTTTCATCCTGAAAGCACCAGAGTAAATAGCTGAGATTCTAACCATACAGGTAATCTATGTCTTCGGACTATTCACATGACTTAGGGTAGGCATATGCTTAAACTGCAGCAAGACTAGACTGCATATTTATGGGAAGCTGTGTAATGCCACTTTACGCTGCGCAGGTGTGATTAGGACATGTTCTAACCATATGCCTCTCAGTCTAGGTGGTGACTGTCATATTTGACCAGCTAGAAATTTGATCATTGTATAGTCAGCAGGATTGTTAGCACGTAGAAAGATTCACCCTTGTTTTCATTCTTCAGAGTTCTCTTTTTCACTTCTTTAGATTTCGCTACAAAAACTTTCCATGCGCTCTCAAAATTTTAGCAGGGTTTCCTTAAGCTTTTGCATGGACATATTTATATCTGTTTTGTGTTTGAGGTCTTTTTTGGTAAGGATATTATTTATCTAGTGTCAATAGCTGAGAAGAGAGTTCCTCATTCCAACAATCTTTTGAAATTACATTATTGCTCTCACTGCCTTGTTCATGCAATTTATTTACCAGACAGAGCACTTATATCCATATTAACTTCTGTTGCATGCCAAATTACAGTAAAATGCAGCTCCCTTTTAATTGCAGCTAGTGTCTAGTATATGCTAATTGAATTTATCATGGAAATACACGAAATGTTATTCTGCAGCAGGATTGAGAAGCAGCAACAAGATTTAGCAGAGTATATTTGGTTATGTACTGGAAATGGATGTATGTAGATCTTTTTGCCTCTCATCTTAATAGCCAAATTCAGCTGGAAATGTTTTTCTAGGAATTATAACACAGAGAGAGAAGCGTGGCCCAGCGTAAACATACCTCACATGGTCACCACTGCTTTTAACATCACATTGATTTATAGCAGCCCTAAGCAAGTATAGATTAAAGTCTAATAAAATCTTAATTTCTCTACATGAATGCTACTGATACGCCATCATTCCTGAAACTAAAACATGCAATTACTTCTAATAACCACAAAACACATTATAGTAGGCAAAGCCTCTTCTATATATTAGGCTTCTTTCTTTTAATTTATTTTCTCCCACTTACAGACTAATCTACTTTTTTTGAAGAGCAAAACATCTCTTTTCCTGTTTGCCCTCTTCATCTTTCCTTGGTTTCAACCACTCCACTTTTTTCTTGTCCACAATAAACAGTCTTTATTTCTTTTCCATACCCTCCCCTTGATTTTCCTTCTTGTCCACATGGCTAAACTAGATTATAATTTTTACCATAAGAGCAATCCTCTACTTACAGGTCAATGACACATATTGCTTAAGGTCCAGATTTCTGCAATACTGAGCAGATGTGAAGAATGATGGTGGAATAAAATGTACAATCCCATGTCTTCCATTTAATTTTCTAAGACAAATATATCCTTGCAACTGTGCACAGTACAGCACATGCTGTATAGCATGGTGTCTACATTTTCCCTCCCAGCAGCCACTAACACAGAAGAAAAACAGAAGAAAATCACTGAAAATGAGCATACCAAGAGAAATCCATCGGCACCCATCTTTCAGGGAGTCTCAGGAGCCCAAGTCTAAAAAGCCGGAGGGAATACATGCTTCCTCTGTATGGGATGAACTGGTTTTTTGTTGCTATCCAGGGAAATAGGAGCAAAAAGTGCTTCAAGGGGTTAGTTAGCACCTGCAACTGGCTACACTGTATGTAGCACTTGATGTGTCACATCTGCCAAGCCTGAGGCCCTCCAGGACATTGGAGATTAAGGCTGTGTGCAATAAGGTGGCAGAACCAGTTCAGCTTGTGTGTGTGCATGAAGTGAGTGCACTGCAGAAATTAGGTAAAATGTGTCTTGGGAGACCATTATGTTGAGGGGTTTGCATATCTGCAAAGCTAGTTCTGTGACATTTGGGTATCTGGTGAACAGTCATTTATCACAATCTGCCCTTCATCTAGAGTGTCTTTTTGCATATTGCTGTTCTTTCCAAAATTCTGCCTAAGGAAAAAGCTAAATTATTCGTATGGGAACAACTACAGGGCTACATCTTTGTCCGTGGACTGTGCTGCAGTTCATGACACAGATTTGGAAATGAGTAAGAACAAAACCACACATTCTGTTCGAACAAATTCCATAATCTCTGGGCTCAGCTATACTAGCGTGCATGGCAAGTGTGTCAGATTGTTCTATAAACTATTAATAAACTTGTAAAAATGTGCCTGTCCACTCTGCAGCCACCTGTGCAACCAAATGTGGAGACCATTTACAATTTTTCAGGAAGTGATGGCTAAATCCTGAAGCCTTTTTGCTATAATTATGTGGGGTCAACACAGTTCAGATATTGAATCTGAAAACTCAGAACCTCTGAGTACCTGAGTCTGTTCAGGACATGCAGTATGACATGACTGTACTTAACTTGCTTTACATCACTACCATTGTGGGTTAGACACCCTTCAGAACCCGATTACATCTTTGGTAACAAGATGACATGACAGAATACATCTCTACTTTCTTTACCTTCACTCACAGGTAGAAAAGTCTATACATAAACACACCTGATCGTATGTCTAACTGAAAAAGAATATAAACCAGATAAAACTGCTATCTAACAAAGGACTCCCTAACATGTCATTTGCACTCATGGATGAGAACTCTGGTCTGGGATGCAGAGGGTTAATCAGCAAAGAGTTCTCAGTCCATCACTGTGCATGACACCAGGGAAACAGCACATCTTCTCCAACTTAGACTTGTGTCATTATAGGAATGATCCTTAGCAATGAACCACAAATACAGTAAGAAATCCAGCACGTATTTCTGCAAAAAAACAATCTGTTTTGTAAAACTGTATGTTCTGAAACGCATTGTGTATCTCTATAAAAAAAAAGTTGTGGTTCTTGTTTTTGTGTAATTCCAGAATGTGGAAACTCCCTTTCACTGGATCAGAGTTAGTGATTCTGGCTGATGCTGATAGACACTGGGGGAGTTACAGGAATTTTGCTTTGATATGGCATGGAATGAAGAAAAGATGACACATGGTTCAAACTTAGCATTATTTAATTGTACTGTAGCAACAT